AATTGTTCTGCATAGCAAGTTCCCTGAGTGAAAGAGCTGGGAACATTTTGCAGTCCAGAAGTATTACGGTTTGGATCAAATTGACCACGAAGTTTATGAGAGATGAAAGAGCACGGTCTCGCCTGACTCCACTGGACGAATTGACCCTAGATGAGAGCTAATCATGGACCTTTACGCATCCACAAGAGTTGACGTACATTGCTTTAGGAGCGTTGGGATCCTATGGGGCCACTTGTTTGATAGACAATGCCATGGTGCCCGACGATCCCCAAAGGCACAGACAACTTTAAGGTCAAAAAGGATCAACACTGTTGGATGCTAGAAGCAGTGTCGTTGGCTTGGGAACTAGAGAAAAGTGAATGTGCAACGATGCAGTCTTCTGTAGGATTGAACCCAGTCTAATTGCTGAGGATTTGCCTTCCCGTGCTCTTACCAGTTAGCCTTCGAAAGAAGATACCAGGAAGTGGCTTCAACGTCATAGCTGTCAGGCTAATGCCAGGATGCTGTTCATTCAGTGCTTGTTGAAATATTTCATTTGCGGACAACTTTTCTCCATTCCGTGTGACAGCACTATCCTTCTTCAGCAGAGTACCCGAAGATTCACCACCTTCTTGAGATTTCTGAAACGCAAACCTTTTTGTCCTGGTGCCTTATCAGGTTTTGAAGGAGCTAATTTGTTCTGCTAGCGGACAACTAGAATATACATTCCACTCACTCAGCGAACACTGTTGTTGAAACGGGTAAAAATATCGTTGAAAATCAAGCATACATTTATTTCAGTGATATGGGATTTTGTGCACATATAAGGGGAAAAGCTTGGCCACTCGGAGTGAGTTTCAGAGAGTTGACAGGTAAACCATTGCCTAACCACTCCAATACTACGATGCAAGTAGGAATGGAGTAACTCACTCACCTTGATTACAGGTACCCACTTATCCCGATACTCACGTGGTCGAGAAACGACTATCCATACATCGTAACATGACATATAAGTAGACGATCTTTTGCTCTGAGGGCAGCCCCATCCACTGGAGTCATCACTTAGGGAAGGAAGAAACGCGCATCTAAAAGCAGAATGTCCTGCGCAAAGTAGACGAGATCGTGGCTGGTGAACCGACCGGCTATCAGTTTTGCCAGTGATAAGCTGGCTCGGCTGGTATCTCGGGTATTGGAATCAACAACACCAACAAGCAAGACAGTTACAAATTACCCATGACTGTCTAGAGGTGAATAGGCCAGCACTCAGGCAGAACGTACTCGACAACGTTTTTTTCGTAATCAAGTTACTACAACTAATTTAGCCTTTATGGAACGGGAAGACCAGTAACAGCCACTGCTGGACAAACTTGTATAACCCAATGGGAAGAGGCCTAACGTGATGCCATATTTTACGAACTACAGCAACCTATTGTACTTTAATGGGAGAAGTCCATTCAGTATCCGTCGATACATGTCAATAGACAGAAGTGTAGCAGTCTCCGGGTACTATGGCTTGAGCGTTGGGACGGCTGTTCGAACTTGACCTCCGCCTCTTAACTTCCCCTGTCTGGGCTGGGGAGGGGTGGTATCCCAGCCTTCGTGCTTCCTTCAGGTGGCATGGCAGCCAGTCACGGGATAGGTGCTACAGCTGAACGAACGATAGCGCGGAAAGCTAGGACAACAGTTTAACACACTAAAGAAATTAAGGACGATACTGTTTAAAAATCATTCAAGCGAAGTCCATGGAACATGGCGACGCAGATTCCCACCGAGGGGTAAGTTAGAGAAGCGCCTAAACAACGTCAAGGTGTTAACGAATTCAAGAACTCCACGTTTTGGGTAGAAAACACTGGTAGCTACAAGATGTCAGCTAACCGCAATGTGCCTTTTTATGCTTTATCTCGCCTGCCGCTTTCGTTTTGTTGTGCATGGTGTAAGGTGTTGTGCTTTTGGCATGTTCTGTCTGCCTGCGCTGGGTAATTTTCGTTTTACTTACGCTGAATGATTTGAGGATTAAGCTTCCGTCGCAGGCGCAAGACAATTATGCGTACCTGTAAACTCGCTTACCAATTGACGAGCGAATCTGATGGGATACGCATTATGGCACCTGCTTTGTGTTCAGGTGAACGCAGCCTCTCGCCGGTTGTGGTGATGCATGCCTGTAATCCCACAACATAGAGGCCAGTTGATAGAAACCGTCCAGAGTCTGCGCCGGTTCGCGCTCGCTGATTAGGTCTACTGGTCGTCGCCGCGCTATATGTCCTGGGAGTTCTGTTTGGGGCTGACAAACTATACCGATATCCCGCCCATATCACCAGCCCAAAGCACCTATATGAAGAAAATTCCAGTTCCCAATTACAACCTCTACCACTGCACTTCTCACTGCTATTCCGGAGGCGGCAATGCGCCCTGGGATGGACGTCCCAGTAGCAGCTAGGTAAACGCGCGGGCACCGGCACCCTTCCTCGAGACCCGCTTCAGCACTAGTTTCGCGAATTCAGCGCCCAGCGTCTGAGGACTTTGACTTCATGGACCGCCCGGATAGTCACGTTCTGATTACGCCGAAAGTGACGCTGGCTCGGTCAAGGAGCAATGCCGTTTACCTCAACCGGGCGCTGTTGTTTTTTGTTTCTATACTTCGGAGATGTTAACCTTCCACACACGGAATTTCACTCAACATAACATCCAGCTATACTAGTATTTGAGTACCACTCGCTGAAGATGCTGTTCGCTTCCACGCGAAAATTGTGCTTCGTACGCTACTCACGAGTAGCGAGAATCAACGACAGTTTCGCCAATCTGTGACAAGCATACTACCCATCGCCCCAAAAAAGGCTTGTGGCGTCCATCTTTTGAGCAATTATGTAGATAGCCCAACCCACGAACTGAAATACCTAGGACGAGCTAAAAGGCGGCGAAACATATGGTAGGCGGTCCAGGTGTCTTAAAGAACCTGTCAACGTAGATCCTGTTTCAGGTACGACACAATGTAAGAGCATTATCGACACACTACTCGTCGGGCTGTTGAACTCTTCAACAGTAAACAACCGGTTGTTGAAGCTCGCCAAGCTGGTACAACCCCCGGGTTTCCTTCAACCACTTGTTCAATCTGAACACAGATGGCGAAATTGCAAAGCTAACTTGCTTTGACGGAAGACCAGATTTAATCCAGCTGAGGTACTTGTTTATGATGTCCTTCAAATTTCGTAGCCGTAACCACTTAGTCTCTCACAGCCCCCTAGAGGGGAGCGGGAGACATTCGTCTCGTAAGCGCTCTAAGCCACTGCACCAGTGACAGAAACCGTCTTCTGCGATCTTGACCTCAGTTCACTCCGCGGATGAACCAATGTGTGGCGAAGAACCAGATGGATCCGGATGGCTAATCGCCACATCCTGTCGGACTGGCACAAAGAGGGCCGGTTCGCGCCTATTATTCAGGAAACCGGTAAGAGATCCATTGATTTAGTTTAATTACCCATGATTGTGTCCGGTGCGGAAGCTGATTAAGGAGGAATCTGGGCATCTGCCTACTCTCATCCAAGTAATCAGGCGTTGCAATTCAGCGCATACTACATCACGTGTTAATTGGTGGCCTTTTGAGATTATCCGCTGTTTATCCTAATGAAGCAACAGAGAGCATAAGAAACGGAGTAGACGTGTATGTTGGGCCTTCGTCGGGTATTCTAGAGATCGAAACAAAATTTAAAAAGTCGTGGAATAAGCTTGAATACCCGAATAAAGGAAACGCCTCTTTCCGAAACTACGAGGATCGGACGGGCATCATTTAGGCTTTTTTTCGTGGAATGCTCACATTTCTTCAACGACGGTTGATGTTTTTCGTTTGGAAACCATGCGAATATAAAGCCTGCATAGCATTCTCTGGTTACGACAACTTGACCCGCTGGTGGGAATCTCTTTGACGTATCCCAGTCGAAGCGGGATAATCAGTCCAGACGGGTGAAATAAGGGGACGGGGAATAAGCCATTGACAGTAGTAAGGAAAAAATGGGGTTGGAGCACGAATTTACTGACCAGAAGGTCCGTGGTTCGAATTCGACCTCTGTGCCTCGACTTCGCCTGTCTAGGCTTGAGCAACCCGACTCTTCTGCAACCTTCAGGTGGCATGGCAGTTAGGCACCGAAAGGGTGTTACGGCTGAACGATTTTTTTACGGGTAGAGGAAATAACTAATTTACGGTAGCAGTGAGGTGATGCCATTAGTTCTCTTACAGGCTTATTGCTCTATGCAAGAGAAACACGAGCACCCGCCACTATCCGTCCCATCTCACCGCTTCAATTGGATGAAATGACGCGGTTGGGTGGCAGCAAACCATCACTGTTCCACGTTAGACGATGCCGAATTAATCACTGGCCGCATATGGACCATACATTTAAGTCTAAAGATCTTGTGGTAGCTATCGTAGTGTTGAAACTGTTTGTCCCAGGCATTCACCATGGTACAGTAATTTTCTGGTGAAACCACGTTATATTTACAGTATAGAAAAAATTAGAGGAAAGGCGAAGGATACGGTTCAGCTTTGATCCAATAACAAACAAATCATCGTCGATCCGTTTTCCCGGTAGACCGTTTCCCAGAGAACAGGTGCTTCGGTTTCCAGTCCGGAATAGTACGATCACCCTCTCCTTTGCGTGCCAGAGTGACAGTCTTGCGTTGAGCAAGTTTGTTCATTCTTTGGACCTTTTCCTGCATCTTCGGGTCACGCACAGCAGATAGCGATCGAGGCCTCGAAGCCCGGGCGATAGAAGCTTCGCGATGAGGGTTCGGAGTGGAATTTCTCTGGCGTTTCATTTTCTTCAAAGCTCGGCCTCGTTCACCCTGAGTAGTGATGAATGGAACAGAAAATGGACGAACGGTAAATACGTGGGTGGGTATTAGACCATAGAGACACGGGCCTTAGCAAAGTATTACGCAAAAGCTGGCTGTTAAGCTGAGTCCATGGTTGTCCAGTTTTTTTTTGGAACTAGGAAGACCCACGCGAGTCCTTCCCAAGACGGAAAATGTGAGATTATCGTCCTTCTGTGGGACAAGAAAGGCCTTTGAGAGAGGTTGCTGTCAAAGCAAGCGCAGAGCGCCTGGATGACTAAGTTTCCGAGACTTTTACGATGGAACACCCAAGGGCGATTGGTCGACCGTATGTTGACCGAGAATTATGAAAAATATGGATTTTATGTACAATACGGTAAAGTGAAAGAGCTTACAGATGTGGTTTTACGAACTAATTCACTTAAGGTGGGTCAAAGTAAAGGGACTGCATTATAAGCTAACAACCGCTGAAGCATTGTTACAAACAGTCAGTAAGTCACGTCCGATTAACCTGATTGACAGTGACGTGGCTATCAAGATAGTAACAGTAGCCATGCCGCCACAAGCCCAAGTGAATGAATGTACGGTAGCTGCCACGAGAAAAAAGAAGTCAGGTCATAACGGCGTTTGGGTGTCAGGCGTGAGACAGCTCCCCTGTGCGGAGAGACCAAATAGCTGTCGACTGTCACATGTGACTGGCGGGTCGTCAACAGGAATTATTGGTTAGTTCAGGTTGAGCTGATAATATACGGTTGCAAAAAGATACTGACTGGCGCACAAGATCAACCTGCACCCGTGAAAAGTTGTCACGTTTGCGAACTAGAGTCTACTATGAGGTCGCTGAATAAATAATGATAATGAAGGCTCAGCTGTAGCACCCTTTCGGTGCCTAGCTGCCAAGCCAGTCGAAGGAAGCACGAAGGCTGGGGTACTGCCAGGTTGCCCAAGCCCAGATAAGGGAAGTCGAGATACCATGGACCTTCCGATCAGTAAATTCCCCTTCAAACACTGAGCTACCTCGATCCGAACAAGAGTAGCGTCAACCTAAGTATGGGTGTTTTGGAACCATGCAGGTGATTAATCTAGACAGGTGTGGAATACGTTTCAGTATGGTAGTTACTAGAGGTTGCCAAAAAATGGCGATCTTTATTTAAAGAAAGGCATTTAACATGTTCGTGGGAACTGAAGACACTGACAAGGCCAACTCCCTCCTAGCGATCAATTCTGTATGACTTCAGTGTGGTCGCTCCCCGAAGGGACAAGCAAACCCATCAAGAATTGGCACACATTAGGAAACCCATTCGCGGTCGACACAATTACATCTTCCTGAGGACATCTTTTTTTCAACACGTCAGTGACACTGTAACGCTTACCCTTCTGCTTAATTACTCCTCAAATCAATTTCCCACCGGTACCTACTACTCCCATTCCATTTCGTCTGTCCCACAATCACGCATCAAAATCGTGACATGAATACGACAATATGTCAAATCCCATTCCATGACCTTTTGAACGACACCAGGTGATTTCACATTGTTTTCATGTCCCATTCATTGCAACGACCTATTTATAAGGACAGAACACAATCAAGCACACACACACACGCATCACTCGCGCGTCGGAACACAGACCGCCTCAAGCACCGAAAACTGCGGACAACCAGGATCATGTAGCAGGAAATCTACCAAAACAAACACGAATTACAATTCACACTCAGAACGATAAGTCGTTCGATTAAATCTTTCTATTTTTGGTATTGTATTGTATTTGATTGAGGTGCACCTAGTTGTCGTAACCTCACGCCCTCAAAACAGGTTTTATTAGTGTCTCTTTCTCGCCTTCTGATTTACCAAGTGGTTTTTGTTGTTAACAAAAGAGAACACTAATAACACACACACACCCATGTCATGGTATCTATGAAACGCTACTGATATTCTGTTGTAGATACAAGCAGTAAATACTTGTACGGTAAGCGATGTCCTACTCAACAAGGAAACGAGTCTGATGGGCGCATCGTAACACATGAGAAATTGAATGTCGATCAAATTCTGCAGAAGTAATTGATCCACAGTGTGAAGACATCCCCTGACACACCAGTATATTCAAACCCAGTGCTGCAGATGAGTGAAGAAAGTCAGCTCCTCTCGGATGTACACTTTGGGGGCGAGATGGTCCAAGTGGTTAGAGCGCGAATTTACTGACCGGAAAGTCCGTGGTTCGGACCCGACCTCTGCCTCTCGACTTCCCCTGTTTAGGCTTGGGCAACCTGGGAGTATTCCAACCGTCGTGCGACCTTCAGGTTAGGCAGTTAGGCACCGGGAGGGTGCTACAGGTGAACGGATATACTCTTCAATTACATAAAACACAACTCGTTCCAACATTAAAACACAAAGAAACCCTTTACCTCCTCTTCCATATCCACATCAAGGCCAAGTTCGCCCAAGTCAGTGCGTATCTTGTGAACACTAACCGAACGAGCAGATCGAGGAACTTGAGGTGCACGAACATGTTTGCGAGCACGTGACTCCAATATACGAATTGCACGGGCCTCGCGTATTCTGTAGAGGAAGAATACGGAGAAACATGTGGAAATAAATGATGATGGAAAGATTTCCATGAACAGTCCAACACCAGAAAGATTAAAATAACTCATTATCGTTTGGAGGCTGCGCATGAGCTACAAATTGGTTTTAGCTGTCACGGTTTCATTGACGGGAAGCGAAGGCTGTTATCGATGAATGGTGAATAAGAGAATGATTGTGGTGTTACTACAGCGCTTCTTCGTGGGGATCAGGGAAGGGGGGTAGCAACACACTGAAGACAATATCACAGAGGAATGAATGTCATCGGCTGAGCCGCTGTGCTGTTCGTCAGTACCTTATGTCCCGTCTTCAGGTTCCAGTCTAGGAGAACGGCAATTGCAAATGCCACTGAATTTGTTAGTTAAGGTGTCTTCGGACTTCTTTGGCACGCCTCCCCTCAACACATGGTTGGATGAAAAATTTTTTTGGGATGAAGCGATCTGCTGGCATTCGAAGCCAAGTACAACACATAATTGGCTCATCTACCGGATAGAGATAGGATACCGAGAAAAGTATTTGACGAACTTTAGCCTATTGACCGATTTTACACCCAACAACAGCCAGGTCTCTGACTCACATAACCGTTAGACTCAATTTAGTACCCAATGCTACCCGCGACTCTTTACCGACAGTTATGCCCCCCCGGAGATGACTATGGAGCGATTTTTCCAGAAATCCGAAGTTAGGGTATGTGTAAGCGTTAGTACGCACACACTCCACGCTACCCAATTGTTCCCATTTAAGCCTGGTCGACCTGACTTGCTTCGTGATGCATCGTGTCGAAAAGGAGTGACGGCTGAACGGTTTGACTTGAACCAAACTTTTGACATGGCCCACATATGACTGCCCGATTCGGAAAGAGCCCATTGGTGGGGACTACCTGAGGGAGCAGCTACCGGGTATAACTCAAAGAAACGAGACGGTCAGATCACAGAAAGGAGGCCCAATTCAAAAGCAAACCGGTAACAGGCATTCATCCATTTATTTGGTCCAGTAAGGGACTACCAAAGCGTTCCATGAAGGAGAAGTGGTTACAACACCCATGAGAGACTACAAATTTGAACAGTCTCTAAACAGAGTCAGGCACGATCAACTAAGCAAGCCGCCTTCGGATAGACTGGTTCCTTTCCGTGGTCGTCTCTTATCGGAGAGGAGGACTAATGCGATCACAGGGCGGAAATCGGTGTATTTTATTTGCCCGCTACAGACTCGTGTGTATACCTAGGACCGGAGTGTAAACAGTCTGGGAGGGAAGAGCTACGATGACAGCTGATTGTCGGTGATCGAGGGGAGTTCCGCAGCAGTCACGGTGCAAAAAGGTACGCATGAGAGTTCATCATAGTCCAGTCTTATTGTCTACACGCCACATCGACTGCCGAACAGACATCACCAAATGCGCTCGGCCCAATAATGAGAGGAACAACGCAGGAAGATATCGTTTTGCACAACAAATTTCCAATCGAAACTTTCCAAGCTTTACAGTATTCCGTAACCAAATTAATCCCGCTGTAGCTAGGTTAGGGACCCCTATGTCGTAACAGAACTCTAGAAGAAATCTACACCACTCACTCAGAATACAACACTCCCCGTCAGTGGCTCCACTTCTGGCTAGTGACGAATCTACTTTCAGCGTACGTAAATGGCAGCGTGGCTCATTTATCCATGATGAAACCACCGGGTTGCATAATGGGCCAGTGAATGCAAAGACTGATGGGTTCAGCAAGCACATGATCAACACGCCGATTATTGTGGCTCAGCGGTGCCTCGAAGCGCACTGCACTGTGCAGAAACGCATCCGAAGATATAAGAGGACACAATTAGCCGGAAACCGTCAATATGAAAAATGAAATACATGGGAGATTCGGAAGTGCTTACTTTGCTGCAGTTTCCCGGATCTTCTTCATTTCTGGGTTATCCGCATCAGGATCTTTGGTCCAATCAGACTCTTCGTATACACCGGCAGCCTCCATAGTGGCCTCCTGCTTCTCCAACAAGTTCAGACGTTCTTCGATGTCGGCGTCGAAGAAATCTATCAGATTATACCCGTCCATAATTTCGGGAATGATGTCGTTGGCCTGTTCAGGACGTGCGATTCGCCAGTGCTCACGCAAGTTAATGATGAACGGATCGTCGCCCGCAGCTAGTTCTCGTTCACGCATTAACGGTTGACTAGACACACTGTCGTCTTCCACCTCCATGCCATCTTCGGGACCAAATGCAGCTGTCCGAGAGCGTTTTTGAGCGCGCTGACGCCGTTTTGCCAAGATACCAGGAGGGATAATGGGCGGTCGATTCACCGTTCCATCCTGGATGGGGTAACAACAGAATTGGTGTGAAAATCCCTGGTCGGAAGGAGTAATACGACGACTTTCTGTTAGCGCGACAAAATAGTGGAGCAAACACAAAACAGGCAGTTCACGATGTGCCAAAGTTTACCGAAAGTTCAACTAACCACCAGGACACGCCATTTGCGAACTTCAGGCGCTAAGTATTGAACTACATAGTGTTGGGGAATCGTTGCTTTGTTTTTTCTGGCGGTGGCAGAAGCTCCGTACTGCCAGTCAAGGGGAAGAAAGTGAACAAGACCAGTGCAAAACATCAAACCTCTAGTGCCGGCTAGGAGCTTTCAGATTAACCTAAGTTATTCTGGGATCGAAGTTCGGAGGGAAATTCTTCGATGCGGCCGGATTTCTTACATTCCAATTCCGGCAAAATTCGTTCCCTTTTTGAGTTTTCGCCACCGAAGTGCAGAAAACAAAAAGGATACTATTCGGTTAGCATTTCAGAATGGCCTGGATCAGCGTTGTCCAGGCGGAATTTCGGTATTTTATCATCCCGTCATCTCCTAATGGTTAACTGAATTACGGATGCTCATGCTCAGCATGAACAGTCCATAAAAACTCATTGTGAAGAAACTATTAGGGATTTGAAAGGGACTTTTTTCTTCGAGAAATACAGTCATTTGTAAATCAATTTGGTTTTCACGAGAGATTCAACTGAGTCTCTCGTGAAAACCAAACCGATTTGCAAATGAGTGTATTTCTCGAAGACAGTCCAATTTGGGTTTAAGTAGAACATAAGGTTGAAGAACACTCGGGGACTGCGCCTACCTGATGAGCCCGAAGTGGAAGGGCGATACCGGTCGTGGGCTGTCGAAGAGTTTTCAGCAACCTTGTGAGTAGTTTCCTTTATGATGATATGACCGTCTCATACTTGCTCCGGGCGAAATGTCTCAAGTGGTGAGAGCACGAATTTACTGACCGGAAGGTTCGTGGTTCGAACCCCAACCTCTGCTTCTTGACTTCCCTTGTCTAGGCTTGGGCAACCTGGCATTAGCCCAGCCCTCGTGCGACCTTCGGGTAGCATGGCAGTTAGGTACCGAAAGGGTGCTACAGCTGAACGACGCAACCGGAATGACAATGACAAAAGCAGGTAAACAGGCGTTCGTGATAACTACGATGATCCATATTGCCAGTAGGCTATTCGGTTAAGTTCAGGCAAACTTTTCAATGCAAGAATCCAGGTGGGCTTGGTAACGACGGACAAGTACTCGTAAGGGTTTAACCAATGGCCGGATCACGAATAAAGGTGGCCACTAGGACCACAGAAGAAGTTGAGAGATCCAAATGTAACACGTGGTTGGAAGATAATTTTAGGCAAAATAGAATGACGGAACGGCATAATCGCCGGTCTGAACACTCCACAGGGTGGTCCATCACCGAGAAAATTTAAACTTACCGGATTTAGCTCACTGTCATCCTTCGGTTTTGGTTTTGCAACGTATAATCGACTAGTGATACTACTGCCTTCTTCCCCATCCTGATGACTCGAAACCGTCGCAGCCCGAAGCTTCGCCTGAACGCGAAGTGCCAACAGGTCATCACAGGCAGCCGCACGAACTCGAATGACACCCTCTTCAGTGACGGTGGACATCTGAAGAAACAATGGACGCTGCGCATCCATCACCCCCTCCATCGTGGCTACGTCATCAGAATCCGTCGGGAAACGAACCACCTCACGAATAAGGTCTTTGTCACTGTCCGCCAATTCATCGAATGAGCGGATATCTTTCTGAAAAAGAACGACAGGTAGTGGGCAACATAAGAGACAAGATATTCCAATATGACGAGACGTTGGCACTTAATCGACATGGGAGATGGTGTCTGGATGTATAGTGGTCAACTTCATAATATCTGCGACATGTTCAGTACGAACGTGGTCGAACAGTTCTGCAATGTGCTTAGGTTGATTAGTGGAGGAAAAACACAACGATAATTGCAGTTTTTTATGCGTATGTGTTTCTATCACCATGGGTAACCTTCACCGAAGAATCGTGTAAACTGAATCTGGTAGTACCCCAGCTGCAGTCTGTTAGGGCGCAGTCAGATACACTACACACCGGGAGCGCTCACACAAACAAGCCACGCAGCAGCGACTATCAGTTGGAATCCAGTCAAGAAAAAACTCTTCAGTTCGGCGGTTTAAAACAATACTAATTCCGGCATAAACCGTTGCGGCGGCTCGAGAGTCACCAGAGGTGCGCAGCGAAAAGCGGCCACAAACGATAGGGAGGTCAGTTCAAAAACTATACTTAGGTCATGGACCTTTGTTCCATAGTGGCGGTACACATCAAAAGAAATGAGTAAATGCAAAATCAGTCTGTTGTCCAATTTGTTTTGAAGGCTGCCAGATGAACTGGGCGTCGGAGTTTGGAGTGTGCCCATGGTCGTGCCTACAGAATTGGCCGTAGACAGTGCAGCTAACGGCAATCTGCGGCGAAAGGATACGTCAATCGTTGAGAATGATGTCCCAAATAAAGGAATGAATAAATGGAAGAGAAAAGAGGTATCCGAAGTTATCTGTTTTCGCTTGCCCGCTCTGCAATTACCACCCGGCTGATAGAACCATGCGACGGTCGAAATGAAATGAATTTGTCTGTAATTGGTCACGTGGTTGCATGTGGGCTGGGATACTGCTAGGGAGCCCAAGTCTAGACAGAAGGACGACTTGGGTCCTCAACCAAAGCATGGGGCTAAGAGGTCTAACCATGAGGCAGCGGCAGTTGGTGTGAGACTGTCGGAGTAGTCCATATTTTTAGGAGGCATGCCGCCACACAGTCCCCAAATCGTAATACAGGGTGGCCGACCTATACCCAGATCTCCATCCATTGACCAACCTGGAATGAGAAGCTCCGCGAATGCCAAACATACATTCTCAAGTACAATTCAACCAGTTAAGAAGATGCACGAAAAGTCACAGCGCCTTGAAGTTCAGTTACTTCAGTTTATAACATTCACAGGAAATTCAAAGAAACATAGCACCGGGAACGCAGTTCAGGAACGTCGTAATTGAACTGCACACGGTCTCTACACCACCAAAATGCTTCCGCAACTCTAAACCCACCCCAGAAAACAGGTCACTCCCTGGAATCACCTGAAGCGTCGGACGAGAAGGCTGCTTCGCTTTTCAATTCATTTACATCTTAACTACCTGCAGTACTGTATGGTTTATTCATTATCATCTTCACCGGTGTAACTGCGATGCTTCTATAAAGTCTGCATAAAATTAGCCACGCCATTTCATTGCACACGTCTCCTGTGTGTTTGGCTGTTTTAGACTGTATTTAGAGTATGGGGTGATAATTTTTAACTTTCTTAGGCACCTTCAGGTGGTTTCAGTGTGTTACGGATTTCCGCCTATCGTCTTAAGGCTTTGGACGTAAAGTCCGAAAAAAAGACCGTACCGCAGTCTACGAGTCTGTTGTGCCCACTTTGGATAAGTGCCACACGCACCTGGTAGGACAAACACACGAAACAGTGTTCAACACTGATGCTTCGTTGGCGCACACATCACAATCGATCGTACAATGACTGGAAATCCACGTAGCAATCAAATCCAAGTGACTAGTAGGTAACCCGAGAAAAGTCTAACAGTGAGCGGGACCCTCACCCCACCCCTAGTAGCATCCGCATGAGAAATCCGAACCTACCAATCCAGTGAGATGGCTCAAGTGATTAAAGATCGGTGATCCGAACCCGACCTCTGCCTCTTGACTTCCCCTGTATAGGCTTGGGCAACCTGGCAGTATTCCAGCCCTCGTGCAACCTTCATGCGGGATGGCAGTTAGGCACCAAAAGGGTGTTACAGCTACAAATACAGTCACATGGTCAATCGTCATGAAGCAAACCTCTTCTGCCGTTCGATAGCTGAACAGACATTCCTCTGCAAACAGTAAGCCACTTATCCATGCTTACACACACACATAAGATGATGAATAGTCACAAAACCAAGTAAGCATTACAAAATGTGTTGTAGTTGATCAGCAGATGATCAACTTCTATTTGTTTATCTCCGCTGCAAAAGTTACTGCTCTTTGTGTAAGCAGAACTGATCGACAGAGAACCAATGACAGACGAGAACAGGTTAAATGCACGATTGCAATAACCAAAACTTCTTGGTATGCATACGGCAAACGGAACGGTATACAATGAGGATCAACCATAAGAACACAATGAATGAAAATAGGCACATTAGCGAAATACACTCATTTGTAAACAAATTTGGTCCTGCGAGAGACTCACCTGGAGCCCAACTGAATCTCTCGTTTCTATTCAACTGAATGTGCTGCACTAGGCCGCCTCATGTTTCAATTGCTACGACATTCAAGATATCGGGGACTGCGCCTACCTGATGAGCCCCAAGAAGGGTGAAACCAGTCGTGGGCTATCGAAGAATTTTCAGCAACCTTATGAGTAGTGCGACACGAAAATAGACTCATCTTATGTTCACAAGAAGTCAATCCACCCAAACACTGATTATTCTAATCGCAGTATTGAGTGAACAAAACACTATTCATAAGGTTGCTGAAAACTCCTCGCTATTCTCCAGGCTCATCAAATAGGCGCAGCCCCCGGGTTTCCGCCAACCTAATGTTTTGTTTGAGTCCAAACTATAAAGACGCCTTTGCGAAACATAATCGTTTGCAAATTGGTTTGCTTTTAACACGAGACTCAAATGAATCCCAGCTTCCAATAAAGTTATGAGTAGTGTAAAGCCAAGAAAATAAACCGTGACAGCACGAACAGCGTACCGAGCTGAAACGCGAGGCAGTCTATGTGTAGTATATTCCACTAAAAACATCATAAACGGGGGACTCAGCTGGGATTTAACTGAGTTTCCCGTTAAAACCAAATTCGTTTGCAAATGAGTGCGGTCCACGAAGGACCACACAATTCGGCAAATTAGCTCAGTTGGGTTCACGTTCCAAGCAGATTGAGTTGGAAGACCAATTAGCTACAGGAACAATACTAAGTCAAGTTGAACACTAGAGAAGATGAATCTAAGCAAATCTGGACGGATGATGACAGCTAAACAGCAGTTCGAAAACACCGAACGCCAGTAACGCAAACTCACGCATGGGAATACCGAGTAGGCGAGATAAAGAAAAAAGACTAACCTTATTTGCAGCAATCACCAGAGGTTTGTTGCGAAATAATGGGCGTAAGCTTTCAAACAAAGTCAGTTGCTGTTTAATCGTGTAGCCACATTGTTCCGACAGGTCCATAATGTAGACTACAGCAGCTTGCAAGTGAGCTAAAGCGGTTATGGCCAACATTTCGATGGTGTTGTGTTCTTCCAAGGGGCGGTCAAGCACGCCGGGAGTGTCAACCACCTGCCACCGAAGATTTTTGTAGTCAGTGTGTCCGACGAACAGAGATTTCGTGGTGAACGGAAATGGTTGGACGTCCACATCTGCACGTGTAATCTGAAGCGACAAATGTGGGGGAAATCGTTTGTTTGGTGACTAGCTGAGGCAAGCATCATTCGAAGGATGAATGCTGAAGGGAAACGACAGGGCACCTGTTAACTCCAAACGTACCTCGATATCGTACCTGTCTGGAATTATTTAGAGGGAATCTCAACCATATAGGGAAGGAAAAGCTAAGGATTTTGATACTCCTTAGCGGGATCGTATAATCGTTCATCTGTAGCACCCATTCGGTGCCATTCGCTGTCATGCCACCAGAAGCACCGGGGCCAGTAGGCTGTCAGGTTGCCCAACCCAAAACAGTAACAGTCGAGATGCAGAGGTTGGGCTCGAACCACCGACATTCCGATGAGTAAGTTTGTAGCCTAACCACTGGGCCACCTCGAGTATGGACATCACGTAGGCACGTAGGTCCCAGCGAAGATGCACCCCCCCCCCCCCCGAACATACTGTACTGACTGACTTTGTCGACAAATTATTCAATATTACATCACCCGCAAAACGTGGGTAGGGAAGTGCTCTATTGAGCTCTAAATCAATAGCGATAGTAACGCCTAGTGGTCATTTAGGGATGTCGACATGCAAGAAAACAAAGGATTATCAAATTGAACCAACTTAGCGAACAAATGCTGAGTGAAAATAACGAGAGAAGTCATTCATACTGGCGAACATGGAGACAGTAAAGTTTTTTCCACCAAGAAGCCTTGCGGGGCTCTAAAACTCCCCACAAGAGACTGGCCCCTAACAGAATTCCGGGCTGGTTGAAGCAATACAAACGGATAATTAGCAGGTGTCGTGCTGGATGTTAAATGGCAATCCATAAGACATATGAAGAACTTATTTCCTGTACATTTTGTCAATGAATGTGAGAATCATCACCACCATCATCATCATCATCATCAAAGACGGCAACATCAGTGCTGGCACTGATGCTTCACTGCCGAAATCGATCATCTACGTCACATTCTTACTAAAAGCATTTGCACGGGCGTTTCATTAGTATTCACACAAAAACCCTGCATAACGAACCGACTCTTCTCCCTTGATGAGTTTTTGCCCGTGCAGCTAAAGCACCATTTCAGTACCTAGCTGGCATGCCACCCGACGGAGACCAAATTGGGAAACCAGTTACACATACGGTTCTACGCACAGAAATTGCCTCGTGTTGAATGTAACCTGAAATTTCACAGCTACCATAGGATTCCTTTATCAAATGCGTCTTAGATGTGATCAGGAGCTCTCACACTTAGTCGTACTTCACGGATGCAATCATACTGCGAGCTTAAATTTTAACCAAGCTAGAAAGACCAACGAGGAGCAGTGAATCCTCGTACTACCAGAAATCGTATTGCGAGGAAGGATGGAGGGATTCCTACTGCGCACCTCGGCAGGATTGTTCTAACCAAAAAGCGTCTTTCCCGGACGACCAGGATCTGCCTTCCCCCGGAGATGGATGGGTTGGAAAAGGTCGGCCCACACATCAATAAACACGCACATAAGATGATGAATAGTTAAAAATAAGCAAGCATTAGAAAATATGTCGCAGTTGACCAGCAGGTGAACAACTTCTATTCGTTTATCTCCGCTGCAAAAGTTACTGCTCTTTGTGTGAGCAGAAGTGATCGACAGAGAACCAATGACAGACGAGAACGCACGACTGTAATTACCGAAACTTGTTGGTGTGCATACGGCAAGCGGAGCGGCATGCAGTGGTTTGGAGCGTTCAACGAGGATCACCGATAAGAACACCGTGAATGAAAATGGGCACACCTTATGTTCACAAGAAGTTAATTCATCCAATGATTCATCACACAACCAGTACAAGATCAAGATAGTTTAGTCCTGATTGTGGTTAGGTATTCGAGTATTAACAATGTTGTGGAATGTAGGTAGCTCGGGTGCGTTGTTTGGTTGTTGGTGTGTTCGCCGAGCTTGGCAGTTGGATTGCAAACGTTTCATCACCAATCGAGGTGACATCGTCAGTGCAGGGTTGAGTGGGTGAATTCCTCCTCTTCTGTCTGTGATTATATAGCTTCTAAACATTATGTGGTAGTCCTGGAAACGGTCGCCGTGTAGTTTGCTTGGTCTCCTGTGAATCTGACGTGGTCTCAATCTCGTGTCTGGTTGGTTCGTTGGGCGCATTCTATTCGGCAGGTCTGTGTGGTTATTCTGCTGTGATTAGGCCTTCTACGGCAGTGAAGCATCGGTGTTGGACACTGATGTCATGCTGTCGATGATGATGTGATTCGGCCGTTTTCTTCTTGCTTTGTGGTGTGAGTTTTGTTCACTTGATTGGTTGATTCATCGGCCTTCTGTTTTCAGTGACTGTCTTCATTTGATCCAATTAGCCCGTTGGTTGCCGTTAGGTTTCTTGTCTTAGAGTACCGTGACTGTGTGGTTCTTTTGCTCGTAACGGCTGATAGACTGCGTCAATATCGATGTGTTTATTGATCGATTTTTGTGTGGAGTACCACGCCTCGGCAAACGTTCGCTCCCGTTTTGTTCTTGAGCAAGCAAGTATTTGAACACTGTCCCCAATTGAACTTGTGTCCTTCGCTGCCTTCGTGAATTGAGACGACTGACATAGGGTTATGTCTTCCGCTGGCAAGCTTGTGTCCGTGTATTCTCGTAGCGAGTTTTCTTCCCGTTTCATCAACATAGTGTTTGTCGCAGTTGTTGCTTCAAGTGTGTAGACCACGTTAGTCTTCTTCAAAGCATCCAACCTTCCCTTTGGTTTCGAGAGGGTTCTTCTCAACGTGTTTGTAGGCTTAAAGGCGACTGCAATTCCATGTTGCCGTAGGTTTCGTGTAGTCATCTCCGCCACGTTTCTGATATACGGCAGCGTAATCTTCCTCTGTTCTGGTTGTGTTGACGGATCAGCTTGGTGGTGGTCTCGTAACCACCTCCATATGAAATTCCTCGGGTAGCCGTTATTTCGGAATGTCTCGAAGAGTCTTCTTTCTTCTTTTTTCTTCGCCTCTGTTGTGTTGCGATGTGTCTCTATCCACTTGAATAGAGTTCGAACACAGCTCCGCAAGTATTCTCTTGAACACACTGTATGGCTTATTCTGAGCGTGGAGGACTAGGGCTTCGTACAAACGGGTTGGAGAAGCAACAAGGGATACATACCATGTTATCCAAAAGACAATGCTTGTATCGGAACAGAATACTACTCATTCGGTTGCTGAGAACTTTTCGACGACTGATTTCACTTTCATTTTGTCGTATTTCACGGATGCAACGATACTGCTGGCTTCGCTGCCTGGAAGTTAGTTCCTTAAGGTTTAGCCACAGTAATAAGGCTAAAGGAGAGTAGACAGACGAAAAACAGCGAGTCCCCGAACTAACAAAAATTGTACTATGAGGGATGTGAGAGTTCGTACTGCGCACTGCGGCGGGAGTGTCAAAACAATAAGGCGTCTCTCCTGGGCGACCAGCACCTGCCTTTCCCTGAAGTTGGACGGGTTAGAAAAGACCGAACATGAGGACCGCGTATTCCGGTCTCCCAATGGCCGAAAAAAGACAATCGTTCAGCTGCAACGCACTTTCGGTGTCTGGCTGCCATGCCACTCAAAGGAAGCAGGAGGGCTGGGATACTGCGAGGTTACCCAAGCCTAGACAGGGGAATTCGAGAGGCGACTGATGTGACCACCGGCGCAGCATTCAGGAGTGTCGACGTACTTTTAAAGACCAAGAATAGAGCACCACCCCACAGTAGCATTAGGAGTCAGGTTTCTACACCTTACTTCCTATGATACAAGGGATAATGGGTACACTGCCTTGTGTCAAGTCTTGAAGTCAAACGCTCAGGATAAGGTAGCCGTTCTTTCAGTTGTAACGCCCTTTGGGTGCCTAGCTGCCATGTTGCTTAATCCTAGACAGGGGGACGGTGAGAAGCAGAGGTCAGGTTCGAACGTCGGACCTTCCGGTCAGTAAATTGGCGTTCTAGTCACTCCGTCCTCAGGTAGCCGAATAAGCCCCTGTTTCTAAAATCAGCCGTCAAAAACCTCCTGCTTTCCACTCATGACGCGTGAGAACTCTCCTAAATCAGGATGGAGGGCGGACTGCTTTTGTTTCAAAAGAACTCAAACGATGCAGGGTGGACATGGCTGCGGTCAGTGAGGTCAGGTTGGTTGGTGAAGGAAATCTAGAAAGGATGACAATAAAACTGACGTGAAAACGATATGCTATTCGCAGCTGCAGACCACAGTGTTGGGAAAAAAAGGGTGAACCAGATTTCATTAACTTGAGAATGATGCTTCGACGATTCTGGCTATCGGCGTCTGTGCACCCACAGTTTCACGCTCAGATGTGGAAAAGTTTGTACTCTACGACCAAGTTTCGGTCCTGGTCAGAGCTGAGAGTTCAGGCCACTCCGTCCTGGTCTTGGGTCACTCCAGTGATCGGACTGGAAAGGATCAAGACACCTGTAGGAGTGTACTTGGTCCATTTGAAATTGAATCAGAGAACGAGATGGCTCAGTGGTTAGAGCGCCAATTTACTGACCAGAAGGTCCGTGGTTCGAAGCCGACCTCTGCCACTCAACTTCCCCTGTCTAGGCTTGGACAGCCTGGCAGTCCAGTCCTCGTGCTCCGCTCTAGTGGCTCGGCAGCTAGGCACCGAAAGGGTGTTACAGCTGAACGGTTATTACCGTCACGAGGAGACTGGACCTTATCAGGGCGTGACAGTTGGTGTACCTCGACAGCCGGTTTAGCTAGACTGAGGGGTGTCCGCGTGACACTCACAGAGTCTCTCATACCAGGTTAGCCCATGGGTAGAGGTCTGACGAACGGTCTCCTAGTTCTCCAGATTGTGGGTTGGAACATGTGTGGCGGTGTGTTCCGTAAAAATGGTTATGTACTTGCATTTCAAACCCAATACCACTGCCTTGCGGTTGGACATTCGAGTAAGTCTTTGGTTCAGGACCCTATCGTCCTCCTCTATATGCGTCGGCGACCTGGCAGTATCCCAGCTCTCGTAAAACCATGAAGTTTACAGCTAACAATACTCTCATGCCACATCGGTCGTCGCGTGGTGCCATCAGCCAGGTCGCCTTACTTTTTGTATACAGCAGGGCGGGTAAGCGAAAACAACCTACTGCTGACGTTTCCCCTCTTCGACCCTACACCACCTAAACTTGAATACTTTCTCGGCAGGTCCCAGCACTAGGACTGACCGTTTTACTCGTCTCAAATCACACCCAGCTGCAGCTTCTGTATGTCCGAGTTCAGTCACAACCCTAAACACTTCGAAGTTCGTTTTCAAACCCCGAAAGTCTGTCTACTTAGCCGCCATTAATGTTCGCACACTGAAACAAGCAGGTAAACAGGTGGCTCTTGCTCGTACGCTGGATTCCCTCTGCACTGATGTACATTGTCAGAAACAAGCATACAGGAGGCAAGTACTGTGATGGAAATGAGTGTCCCCACGCTCGCGTTGACCATATTTTCACACTCCGCCAGGTGTTAGAGTAACGTCATATGTACAGACGACCCTTGACTTCATGGGTGCGTTTGACTCTGTTGATCAATCAGTAGTGTTAACTACACTTGCTCAACAGGGTATACACCGGGAGTTTGTAAACCTAATCCGATCCCTATATCGTTCTCATGTTCGAGGAGGAGGAAAAGGCGCAAGTATTCTTGGATGAACTGACCAAAGTCATCCCGTCCTTTGGTATGCACTTTGCACCTACAAAGTGTAAGGTCATGCTTGTGGACATGCAGTCACTGAACACGCCACTTACAATACAGGGAGAAATACTGGAAGTTGTGGATCGTTTTACGTATCTTGGAAGTTGTATTGGTTCTGATTGTAGTGTGACAGATGAGGTGAATGCACGAATCTGCAAGGATCGGGCCACGTTTGCTAACTTGAGATACCTGTGGCGTCAGAATGGTTTATCCCTGAATCTGAAGGGACGGGTGTATCAAGCTACAGTACGGACTGTTTTTGTTGTATGGCTGTGAAACTTGGCCTATTCGAGCAGTAGACCAGAGACGTCTTCAGGTGTTCGACAATCGTTGTCTTAGAGCCATAGCTCGTGTGGGGTGGTGTCGGCGAATCCGTAACGAGGCAGTTAAAAAGCGCGTTTTCGGTTGTGTAACGGGTACTTCCACTGGAGAATGTGTCCAGCGCCAGAAGCTGCGTTGGTTGGGACATGTGCTGTGTATGCCGAACCATCGGTTGCCGAAGAGAGTACTGTTTTCCATGCCCAACTCGGAGTGGCGTAAACAGAGAGGTGGCCAACCCTTGACTTGGCAGAGGAGCATGAAGGAGATCACGAAACGCTTGGGTGCTGTCGGTGCTACTCGCCTTCCAGGATGGGGACCGCGTGATCCTCACTGTGCCTGGTTGGAGACACTACAAGATATGGCTGCCAACCGATGTCAGTGGCGTTCTTGTTGTCAATTTCTATCCAGATTGTCTGAGTAAATGTCTGGAGGTGTACGCACCTCGGAATGATTGTGTTAGGCTAGCACTAAGTCCCTTCCCCGTCCACCTTTACTCTTTTCTTTACCATAAGACTTTCAAATAAATCATGGTTGTACGGTAGTGAAGCATCGGTGTTGAACATTGATGTCATGCTGTCGATGATGGTGATGATCCCTATATCCACATGCTTCTGGGCGGGTCAGAGTGTATGGTGAGCTCTCCAAAAGCTTCATTACAAAAAGTGGTGTCAGATAAGGATGCCCACTCTCTCCATTCTTGTTCAATTTCGTCACTGATGAAATAATGAGGCGAACACTGGAGGGTCTCCGAAACCCCGGTGTTCAAATTGTTGCTAGTAAGAGCCTTGCCGATCTGGAGATGACATTCTTGGAGACCAAAGCGAAGCACAAGCCCGGTTGAATAGACTGACCAGGATCATATCATTTTTTGGAATGTCCTGCACCTTCAAAGTGCAAGAGCCATGCTTCAGAACGTCCAGCCTCTGAACGTAACCCTTACAATCCAAAGAGAACCACTGGGGATTGTGGAAAACTTTACATACCTCGGACGGAAGTGCGTCCGATGAAGTCAGTGCAAGAATCTCAAAGGCTCGAATCACGTTTGCTAATTTGTGTCACTCGTGACGTCAAAAAGGCACCTCACTAGATCTAAAGGGTCGCGTGTACCACGCTACAGTGAGCTGTGCTATCGTATGGGTGCGAGATATGGCCTCTGTGGACAGATGATGAGGCGTCCTCAGGTTTTTGACCACCGACGCCTCAGAAGCATTGCTAGTTTTCAATGGCGTCAAAGGATTAGTAACGACGAAGTCTGAAAACGCCAAAGTTACTGAGCTGTGGCCGTTCACCATAACTCATTTACTACAACTCTCTAGGAGTTTTCGTTTAATTATGTTCGGGGCCTCGTAATAGAAATAAGAGGAGAGTGGGGGAGGAAGGAGACCTGGTGCTGACCTATCGTAAGCATTTTGAGGTGCTTACACCTACCTTCAATACTGGACTGACGCTCCACTGTTAATAGCCACAATCCTCAACACGTGACAGCACGAGCTACTACACGACGTATGGCAGACGGACGACCTCAGTGAAAAGTCACAGCAAGAAGTACGCTAATATAGTAACCAGCTACCCATGGATTAAAACTGACCTTGTTAATGAAACTGGATTTCCCAACGTTGGGGAAACCACACAGTATAAGGGTCCGCGTATCCGGATCAATAGTGGGTAACCGAGACATGTGTTGCCGGGTATCCTCCAGAAATTTAAGGTTGTCTGCCTGGCGCTTGATCACAGTGCACATTCTAAACGGGGCTTACAAAAATGACTTTGGCTTACCTGCCTAGAGCAGTACGTTTCAAAGTTTTGCACTGGTAGAGTGATTCGCCATACTTCAAAATCTTCACTTGATCACGGGCAATCCTGGGGAGGGTGACCAAAATAATACAATTTACCCATCTATGATATTCTTAGCTGTGTTTAACTGTCCCAAGGCGAGTTTATAATGATCCTTCGAGTAGAGCACATTGATAAGGTCGGCGTAGAATGGATGAATTGTCTAAGGATGATAACACAAGAGGAGCAAGTTACCTCAACATTCGGAAATTCCGTGACAATAGCCTGGAGTTTATCGTGGAAGAACTGTTGGCAGGTCTTAACCTTGCGCATATAGAAGTGCCGAATTCTGCCGATGGCATATTGCTTGTGTATGACAGTTGGGGTTTTCCGCTGTGTTTTGGACAGAACGATATCTATGAAATCCTATATTTTTGTGAATAGTATGTAAATGGCTCACTTTCGACCCGGGGACGACTCCAATGCTCTTGAAATTATAGCACGGCATTCCCACGCCGACTGGAAGCGCCAGAAAGCAAGGTCACAGTGACCTTGAGAAACAGACTGCAAAATTCAGGTCACCGATTCACGTATTGATGCACAGGATCGAGGCTTACCTCCTGGTCGGCTTTGCACTTGTCGTTCAGCGGCTGTCGTTCACCTTTAAGGCACAAATGAAATAAGGCGTATCACTGCCCTTGAAGTTATCAGCACGCAGTGGAATGCTTGTCAGCGCGAGGGCTCGCATAAATAAGTGTCTAATAGCGCTTTGCACTGGGTTCTAGGAGGAGCGTAGGCAACCGCCATGGGAAGGTTATTCCAGGCAGCTGCTATTCGAAATGAGAACAAAATTTGCCTGATTAATGCGTGCCCTCTGAGGCTGAAAATCCTCTTACCATGTCCCCAAAGTGTGTTTCTTGCCTTAACGGTGAAGAACCTGTCGGCCAAGCTTTGTTCAAACAGGGCATAACTACGAATCAAGTCCACTCGGATGCGGCGGTAATCCAGGGGAAAGGGTTGAAGCACCGCGAGACGCGTTTCATAGCCCAAGGATTTGAAGCCCGCAACCATCTTCGTAGCAGCTAGCTGGACACGCTCAACGAGGGTGACGTATTTCGTTCGTCCCGAGCAGACAACTTGGTTGGCATGTTTAGGAAGTGGTCTGACGCAGGTCCAATGCGGTATTTGGAAGTCCATGCGAATAATACGAGAGAAGTGCCTCGAGTCATCCGTAACACGGCGAATGCTCTTTGGTTCAATTCCTCATGATGTAGTGAGAAGGATATTTGAAGAGAACCAGGCACCCGAATCCTCAGGATGTCTGCTGGTAGTTTGTCACCACGCATGACAATGACATTCGCTGAGTCTTCCTCAAATGACATACGGACACACTTCGCTTATTCAGAAGAAGGCTGCAGTCCAATAACCAATGTTTTGCAGTGCCTAATCCCATTCAGACGGCACTGGCGTCGGAACTCCAGAATTTTGAGTCGTCTGCAAAAAGTCGACATGGACTTTGAAGAACATCTGGAAGATGGTTGACGTATGTCAGAAACCGCAGTGGTCCCAAAACGGCTCACTGAGGAACTCCGTTGGTGACCGGGCCTGGATAAAAGTGGGTCGAGCGTAGTTTCACTGGGAATTATTTCTGGTAGGATCACCTTGACCTTGTGCGGGATTTTCCGTTAAATCACGTAAGAATCGAGTTTGCAAAGCAGCGGGTCGTGCGGAACCCAATCAAGTGCTTTCGAGGAGTCCGAAAACATGGTCGAATTTGGGTTATGGACTCAGCGATTGATACATGGGATCGAGACATTCGCAAAAGCTTACCGTGTCACGTTTGTTCTTTCTATTCAGCTGCTTCTCTTCACCTTAAAGGCACAAGCGACAGGTGGGTATTGCACTGTCCTTTGAGCTCGCCAGCGCGGGCATTATTCTTGCCAGCGCGAGGACTAGACTAACAGGGCGTTCAAAAGTTCACGGAACTGTGTATCAAATGCAGCGTGAACAACCTTCGGAGGAAGCTTATCCACGCTGCGTACACAAGAAGCCTGCCTCCTCCAGAGAATAACTACCTCTGGCAGTCGAGGGGTCTGCGGTGGTTCAGTAGAATTGCGGTCTGGCGTCCCGGATGGATACATTGGCGTGAGTTACGTTGGAACTAAGTAGACTCACTGATGTCAATATCCTTGTTAGAGGATAACTTCGATGGGGATACAGTGTCGTTGCACAGGGCCAAATGAACACCTCAAAATTAAATAGGAATTTTGAAAGTGACAAGCCGAAATAGCTGCGTGAGATCAGGTAGGCTAAATCCTAACAGAAATGTCAGCAGGCACAAACACGGGATCTTTTTGGGAAGCTCTTGGACCATGTGACTGCGTGCTGTTTCTTGGGGAAAAATATCTCCTCAGCCTCGTGAATTCCCAAGACAATAGTCCTGTAAAGCTGCCACTGAATCTGGTCTCATTTTGCATTGCTCAAAGAACTGCTCATTTCTGGAAAGTCCGTTCGGCAGGAGCCCCGAATATACGTTTGAAGTTTCCGGTTTTTGGCCCAGTCGCAGATCAAATAAGAGGTCAGCACGTAGTAGCCACTATGTCCCAATGAAGTTTTACTTAACTCTTGAGCAATAAAGCTCCCTTCGTTGGTGATGATGGTAGCTGGCCTGCACAGTATTTGATGTTTGCGACGGTATGTTTAATCCAAGCGTTCTCTTGCACTACTTTGGTCAGCGTTGATACAAACATCCACCGTACCCAACTTGCTGGGGTTCCATCCAGAAGGCTTAATGAGCGGCATAATCTCCTACTGACAACAGATGTGTGAACAGGTAGCTGGAGGAAGGTTGTGCACGGGTTTGCCGATTATCCTCTGTGGATTGAAGGGACGACGGTAGACCACGCCGAGAAGAAGAGAATCGGCCCCACACAGCCGGATACCAATCCAGAATGCATCACAAACAGGTTCAGGGGTCGCTTCACGGAGGACAACCGGGATGGATAGGGCCGCGTGTAATGATGAATCAACCCCGAGGATTCAGTGGTTTACGGGATCAGCGCTTTCGCCAAAGCTTCGCTGGTGATATTCGTTCTCGCCTCTTGGCAACTTCAATCCACATTGAGGGCCCCGCACTTTAAGTACCCAGTGTTGGACAGTAGGCTCGCCAGCACAAGAATTCACATGAAGCCGATCTAAGATTTTTTCGAATTGGGTGCCTGATGCAGTCCGAGTGACTTTTGGAGGTGGACCATTCCATGCCGGGGACAGATCCAACATTTTAGTGATAGGGAGATACAGCGATCATGTTCCCGCAGACTGAGGCCCAAAGGAGTCCTGCTACATACAATTTCAAATTATCCACCATTACTTTTCAGTGTCTTGCTTGTCCGCGTCTTCGTGGGTGCATTTGCTCACGTTTCCACGATACATGGGATCTAGGTTTTCGCCCACGCTTCCAGGTTCCGGGCTGCACTCGCCATTCAGCAGCTTCAATTGGTCTGTAAAATACCGTAGCTTAAAGCCGGATGCACCGCCCTTCAATGTCGCAGAACGAGAATCCAGCTGTATTCCACGGGTTCACCAGGTTTATTCACCGATCTGAAGCACGAGTCTTCCGGAAAGAAGAAAACCCACACCTCTTGTGACTTTGCAACGTAATTGTACCAAATGGTACAGTACTCTGTCTTCGAAAACCTGAGTTCTGCCTGAGTGTGTCAGCTCATGCAGGTCCACGATACATAGAACTTCACTAGAAAGTGTAAGTTTGACAAGCAACGCGCTCCAAATTAGGTCGAACGAAAGAAAAATGTCTGGCCGACGCATTGACCTGGTCTTCCTGGGTTGGTGTGAGATATGTGGTGACGTTCCTAATACGGGTTCAGACAGCACCATCTGTAAAGCTTGGACTGCAAAAGCCTTGTGACTGGGCTCTAGAGCCAAGGGTTCCAGCTTAGCACTCTTGTACTGCTTGTGGTTACGCGCGAGCACCAAGCTGGTGTAAGACTCCATGTACAACCACTGGTTTCACAATCAAAAATGGATACGTTCCGCTTCCAGCCCAAGGAAGCGCAAATGTTTAGGACGGATTCGTAACCAAAACGGTGGCCATCGCTAACTTCCCGATTTTTTCTTTTAAATATTTGTCCTCCTCTACCTCCCGTTGTGGCCAGCGGCAGCTTATGAGATTTATCCTCAAGCACCAATAAATCTGTGAGATGCCGATAACCGTTAGCTGCAATATGTACGCCTACAAAACAGACATTCACGGTGACTTCCGATTTCTATAACTGGCAGTCAGGAGGTAGGCGGTGCTTGGCGTTCACAAGGACATGATGGCGGCACACGCCGGTTCGAAATGAGCAAATATGCAAATTGATATGTTTTGAACCACGTGGCACTTAAACCACACATTCCCACGGGTTGAGTGACACGGGAACAAAAGAACTTAGAGAGCGGGAACAACGTGAGTGTGTTGAAACCAAAACGACGGGCGCAAGTCCTCAGGTTCTTCCATCATTTCCCTTGGCATTTTTGAGGCCTTTGAAATCTCGTTGCGCCATAAAACCTGAGACGAGTTCTTTATCTCTCGTGACACGCAAAGCATGGCCGACATTTTTACGGCAGCCTGCTATCATCATTATGTTCAGTTGGTCTCACACGAGCTTTCTGTGTTTCTGGCTGCCAATCAGCCACAAGATTTTGCGCTGTGGGCCGTAAACTATGGGAAGTAACGTAAGCTCTTCCGTGAATCCCATGATTTTTCCTTCATTATTCTAATTAACAGACTTATGACTGAGATGACCATTGCAAAACACACCCTTCAAAAACGCAAGGAATCTACCGCCACAACTTGTTCCTTTGAATCTAAGATGCTGCGACGCCTCTCCCACAGGCGTTGATTCTCAAATTAATCTAAAATTCCAAATATTGTGGCCGCTGACAAGAAGCCTATATCAGATCCTGCTGACGCTGCGGAATTCCTAAACTCTCAGTTCGCTAGCTGCTATGCTCTCTCCAAATCGACCGTAGATACTTGTTACTCCCCACCTAGTTACGAAATGACCACATCTATTGACGAGACAAGCACCACCCTCTGCACGCTCTCAGTCTTTTGTTCGACATAACTTCGTCTTTCGTCCACCTGATGAACTCCAATTTCTTAGGCTCTCAATGTATTCCTTCGTCTATCTCAGAAGCTAGTGGCCCAAACACCCCGCACATCCTTGTTCTCTTCAATACCTCCCTTACCACAGTCCCAGTTCGACGGAATCACCCTACCATTGACCCGCGCTATAAGACAAAGCCACGAACTGCACCATCTGGCTATCATGGCATCCATTATGCCTGCTTACAATCCAGTAACCTAGAGCACTTTGACCAATTACCTGTTATTGATTACCTGCTCACCACCAACAACTCAATAATCGGCAGTGGGGTATGTGGCACGGCGGTCAACTTACACATGCCAGGTTATTTCTCAACCTAGAGCACTTTGACCAATTACCT